ATGGTCTCAGGTCCTACACATTTCATTCTTTGTGGGAACTTCTTCAGGGACCATATAAATAAAATAATTTAGAAGCAATAAATACGCCAAAAAGCCCACCCACCCCTTTCTTTCTCTTTCTTAAATAGGGCTAGTCACAATGTTCCACAGGTGTTCCCCCAATTGTCCAATATCCAGCAGTCTTCAATTATCATGGTCCAATCTCTCCCTCCACCCCCATTTGCAGAAATCCTTCTTCTCATTCCAGCTGTTTCAGATATCCTGTGTTGAGATTGCTTGCCAGTGCCATCTTTGTTCTCATGTGTTCCATCATGTCACATGGTAAATACTTCCTACTTGCGACTAACAACGCACTTCAGCATGTTCCACCGTTTTAATAACCTTTAATGGATCTGCTTGAATAAAATTATATCAATATTATACTACAAAATAAAAAGAAAACTAAAGTATAACATACAGAGACATGCAGACACATACACTCATACATACACAGTCACAATTACATACATACTCAACCCTGGAAGTAATCAACCCAAGCTCTGTGGAGTTCCAATTCAGCAGCTTAGCCCCATCACTCCATGCAACACATGGAGCAGGGATATGATGAGATTCATATCCCCGCCATCTCCACACAGCCTGCGGCATGAGCCAGAGGCTGGGCTGTAGAGAGGTACTGGAGCTCGGCCATGCTACCTATTGTGATCGGAAGAAAGAAAGTGCTGTACGCTTCGCCAGTCGGTCGACCGTTCTTTACACCCATAGGACCGGTGCACCATAAGGCAAGCAGGGCCTATAATGTCTTAAAGGAACACTATAGTCACCTAAATTAGTTTAGCTAAATTAAGCAGTTTTAGTGTATAGATCATTCCCCTGCAATTTCACTGCTCAATTCACTGTCATTTAGGAGTTAAATCACTTTGTTTCTGTTTATGCAGCCCTAGCCACACCTCCCCTGGCTATGATTGACAGAGCCTGCATGAAAAAAAAAACTGATTTCACTTTCAAACAGATGTAATTTACCTTAAATAATTGTATCTCAATCTCTAAATTGAACTTTAATCACATACAGGAGGCTCTTGCAGGGTCTAGCAAGATTTTAACATAGCAGGGGATAAGAAAAACTTAATTAAACAGAACTTGCAATAAAGAAAGCCTAAATAGGGCTCTCTTTACATGAAGTGTTTATGGAAGGCTGTGCAAGTCACATGCAGGGAGGTGTGACTAGGGTTCATAAACAAAGGGATTTAACTTCTAAATGGCAGAGGATTGAGCAGTGAGACTACAGGGGCCTGTTCTATACACCAAAACTGCTTCATTAAGCTAAAGTTGTTCAGGTGACTATAGTGTCCCTTTAAAGAAGTAGGAGTTAGGTGGGGCTAGAGGGTGGGTATTACTATGGTATAACACATACTGACCTCGAGAGTGGAAACAATGGAACTTGGGGCAGGAGGTAAGTAAGACCATAGCAGCTCCTAATGATAATGAAAAAGATACATTATAGAAGCTTTTAAAGCTATTATGAGGGTCTTCAGATCCAACTGTAACAGCTGAAGTCTGAGCAAGACAGGTCACAGTGAGCATTGAAAGGTAGCTGAAATGGGGCCTGTTACAGTCATGTTACAAGGCATGACTTAGCACATTATGTTAGTATCATTATGCTGAATGAATTTCTATAGGGTTAATTTATATTTATGTTTATGGTTTTACAGCTCTAATACAGATTATACAGTGGCAATAAAGTCCCTTAAAGGGATACTATAGGCATCAAATCAACTTAAGCCTAATGAAGCAGTTTGAGTGAATAGAACATGCCTTTATAGTCTTACTGCTCAGTCCTCTGTTATTGTTGAGTTTAATCACTTTTGTTTCAGTTTATACAGCCCTAGTAACACCTTCCATGACTCATACAAAAAAAATGGTTTCAATTTCAACCAGCTGTTAACTTGCTTTAGAAGTTTTTATATCCAGCTCTGTAAATTCAAGGGCTTCACATCGCGACTGACCACAATGGAACAAACTACTGAGATTCATGCCACACAAATTTCAGACCTGCAGAGACAGGTGAGGGATCTGTCCTACCCAGACCACCTTTGATACCCAGCTGGCAGCTCCGGAGGATAGGAGGTGGTGGAAACACCTGAAGATAAGGGGCACAGCTATGGCAGAGATACCTCACTTTCTACGAAGGCTATTTATGGCCCTACTGCCGCCTAAGCAAGCAAGGGGCATTCAACTAGATGGCATGTTCCGCCTGCCCACACCTCAGTCCAACAAGGCCCAGACCTCGGGAGACCTCTTTATTAAATTTCAAAATGGGCAGAATAAGGCTTGCTCTGCTGGGAGATGTCTGACAATGATTCTTTAATCATTTCCCAGATTGGTGTGATCTTGGGGCAGCTCCACCAGATGTGAGCTATCGTTCCCTCTCTATTGTTGCATTTCTAGCATGTTGGAGGTGTGTTTGGGAAGATCATGTGAATGAGGCTAAGCGTTCAGTACCACGTTGAGAGTAGTTTATAATTCGTTTCCTGATACACTGTGCTAATTGTGCTCTTATGGTTGAGAATCAGAACTTTGTCGCATTCCCCTTCTAAAATGTCTTGTAGCTTTCGTATTCCAGTGGTGTGAAGTTTATCGGTATAAAGCAGTTTCAGCTTATGTGTTCCAATGCTCTGGCTGGCAGATCTCCTCCTAGGTCCTAGTTGTGGTGTAGGGGTGTTAACAGACTCGGTTTGGGTGACATATGTGGCCCATCAATGATTGCTTTCCAGGTTCTGAGTGTGTGACTTGCCGGGGCTTCGGCTGCAGTGTGGTCTGGCGCTTTCGACCTTCCCATCCATACTGCTGTGTGCATGGCTAGGCTTTCCGATTCCAACGCGGCCCACTGTTGATGTGCTTTTTGGTTGGTGCCAGTCTAATATTCATTGTAGTGTCATTGCCTGGTGGTACTTCCTAAAGTCTGGCAGGGCTAGCCCTCTCCATTGTCTCTGGAGGCAGAGATGTTCGTGTCTGGTGCATGATCTTTCGCTTCTCCAAACATAACGGATTACTGCTGATTTTAAGGAGGAGTTACATGTCCTTGGTGTGGAGAGTGGTATGGAGAGTGGTACTGAACACATCTTGAGGTCTTCTAAAACGTTTGGTAGTATGGGTATGAAATTTGCTTGATAAAGGTCGTTGGGGTCTGCATTACCCAGGTCCCCAAATATTTCATCTTGTTCGTGGACCAATGGAACTGGGAAATTGGGTGTTAGGGTATTGTATTCTGCAGTGGGGATGGTGACATTTCAAGAGATTTAACTTAAGGCCTGAACTCTTGCATGAGGCATAACAGGGTGATCTGCGGATTAGTTATAAAGAAAAGTAGGTCATCCGCGTATACTGCTACTTTATGTTCCGTATTCCTGACTCGGATTCCTGCCACGTCCCTGTTGTTTCGGACCACTATAAGAAAAGGTTCAAGGGATATTGCGAACAGCAGCGGTGAGAAGGGGCACCCCTGTCTTGTGCCGTTATAGATCTCGAAGCTGCCCTTTCACTCGCACTCTTGCATTTGGGTTGCTGTACAGGGCAGCTATCCAATTCTGAACTCTGTCGCCAAATTCCATAACCTCTAGGGTTGAGCACATGAATGCCCAGTTTACGTGGTCAAATGCTTTCTCCGTTGAGTAGTAGGTGTTTCGAGCTTCGGCGTGCCTGGTGTTGTAAGGCGAATACACGGAGGGTACTGTCTCTCGTTTCCTATCCCGGGATGAAGCCTGTTTGGTCTGGGTGGATAAGGCCAGGTAAGCTCATTTGTTTCCTGGTGGCCAGGATCATAGCAAGTAATTTGACATCCACGTTTAGGAGCGATATCGGTCGTTGGCTGCTACAGGGTGTTCGGTTTCAGCAGCACGGTGATGGTAGCAGCCATGGATTCATTGTGGACAGCTCCTCCATCCATTAGTTTTTTTAGCTCCTTTGTTAATTTAGGTATTAGAATGTTGGAGAATGCTTTGTAGTATCCTCGTAGGTCCTGAGAATTGGACATCCAACACAGCTAGTATCCACATATCCTAAAACGGGGATTATACCCTCCAGGCGCTATACAGCAGAGCTCTTAGTAGCTCTGCAAATTGTGAGTTAGTCTTTTATCTAGTCTTTTATATACATACGTGTTAATTATTTATGACATACTGCACTATGTGTTTTTATCTCCTTTGAGGGTCATGCCCTGTTATGTTATCAAGATTGCCTGTATGTATGTATAAATTATTATTCTATTATATCTACTTTGAGCAACGTTTGGTGCGGTTTACCATCTAGCTTATCTTCTACAGAATGATATAGTACCCACCCACATGTATGTCGTGCCCCACGTGGATGAGTCTCAAAGTGGGTGGTGTGAATATGTCATGGGTGTTACCTGTACGAATACCTGTCACGGGAGCCACTTCATGGGCCTCTACTCTTATGTTCTAGGTGGGTCTGATAGTTGTCGGGGCCGAGAGCCCTCCAGGGATTCGCCTGGTTGGTGTTGCAGTACTCGTTATGGTTGGGGCCTCGGGCCCAAGGGCTTCAGTACCCAATTCTCCACATGTTGCGTCAGGAGCCGTTGTCTGCTCAGGAATGCGGGAACATCTTCAGGTCATCTGATGGTCAGCCACTCATTCTGATGCTGGGTGGAGAGGCTGAATGGGAAGCCCCACCGGTAGTGAATGCGGCGTTCTTGAAGTATGGCGGTAACTGGGCAAAGGGCTCTGCGGACCTCCAATGTTAGCGGGGACAGATCATTATAGAGTGCAACTTGTTCTCCCTGGAATTCCCAGGTTCTGTTGCCCCTGGCTGCTCTTATTATGGTATCTTTAAGGTGGTGTGAGCTCAGGCCGCATATAATGTCTCATGGTGAAGTGTTGTCTAATCTTGGTCTGAGGGCACGGTTTGCTCGGACAAAGTTGAATTCAGCTGGAGCTCTTATTTCCCAGTATAGTGCAGAACAACCAGGAAAGCACCCTCTCCACCTCCTCTTCCCCTCCAGGTTCCGGTACTCCGCATTCCTTATGTTACCCCTGCGGCCACGATTGTCTAAATCTTCTAATGGTCGCCTCATGTCTAGTAGCAAGGCGCCCTGCCGCGATATGGCCAGGTTTGTTGCTGCCATTTTGTTTGCTGTGTCTTTTGTTGCGGTGTCCAAGTATTGTAACCTGGCCCCCTGGGATGTCACTTCTGTGTGTATTTGGGCTATCTCAGGCCGCAGCGTCTCTGTGAGTGTAGTGGTGAGATCCTTCATATCTTGCCTTGTGACCATGGAGGTTGCCAGGGCTCTCAATTCCCTGCTTATGCGCTCTAGTGTGGCTTGGTCTAGTTCCATTGGGAATGATGACCTGGAGGTTGCCATATTGAGCTCCAGCGCCACGTGGTAGGCCACAGTCTGGGTATGTAGAAAGTCATCCATCAGGCCCGTGGGGGAGTTGCAGGAGTTGGATATTGTGTTCCTGGGGTCTGGGATGCTTCTGTGCAGCGTATCCTCCCCACGGGCCTGGGTGTGTATTTTCAGCTTATTTAGAGCTTTAAGGAGTGGAACTCTCAGCCTATCCTGCCATCCAGGTCAGAGTCTAGGCCACTAGTTAAAAACTTAACTTCAAAGTTTATGAAAACTTTATTAATAATGAAACTGGCACAAAAAGATGATCAGAAGGCAAGTAACTAGAAGTAGTAGTAGGGGGCAGAGCTAGCTACTAACAGAAGCAGACGCATGAGTTTGGAGTTCCCGGGAGGCCTGGCTAATAATACCTGATTTTCACGAGTTTAGATGATTAAAAACATCTCTACCAGCCAGATGAACACCATGGGACACAAATCCAAGCCACATCGGTGTGAAATGACACCAATATCAAAAAATATTGAGAAACTACTCCAGGTTACACCCCACTCACGGCCTGCCAAGATGGTGCCCACGAGGGATGTCTCAGGCTTCACATCAGAAGAAGGAGAATGCAAGAGCCCACCCAGCTCCAGATCCGAAACTCATGCCAGCAACCAAAGCAGACATACAAGACCTCCTTCAGTATCTAAAAGCCCTCTCAGCAGCCTGAGTCAGGGAGGATATGGGTGTGGTGGCGGCCTGTGTGCAGGCCAGGGAAGCCGCGAACAGCAACATTCAAGAAACATCGATTGATCTTTGAAAAGACATGGACCACTACAAGCAGACCAACAGAACTCTGGAGAACAAACTGGCTGAATTGGAGGGTTCCAAGCCCCAACACAATCTCTGTGCAAGAGGTATACCTGACAATGTGGATAATAATGCAATACCCCATTATATAAGGCCACTAGACATGTGCAATTCGTTTCGTTCTGAATATACATTTGGACGAATTTCGTGAAATTCGTACATTTGGATGCTTATCAATGTCCGAAGCTCGAATTGCCGAAGTCCAGAATTGTTGAAGTTCCAAGTTGCCGAAGTTCCGAAGTGGGTTAGGGGTAGGGTTAGGGTTTAGGGGTTAGGGGATAGGGTTAGGGGTTAGGGTCAGAATTACCGAAGTTCCAAATTTCCGAAGTTCCGAATTGCTGAAGTGCCGAATTGCCGAAGTCCCTAATTTGGGAAGTACCGAACCGAACCAAATGCCATTGGTCTGAATTGCCGAAGCAGGCAAATTTTTTTACTTACCCGAATTTCCAAACCGAACCAAATTTTTTGCCCATGCACATCCCTGAAGGCGACTGCTGACATCTTTTAGCATGCACTCACCTCCCTCGAGCCGCGCAGCCCTCCTCCTGCCACTTGGTCTGACTGCTCCACGCGGCTGCTCTCTATTCTGAAGTGTACTCACCTTCCTTGAGCCATGCAGCACTCTTCCTACGGCGTGGTCTGAGCAATCCACGCGGCCACGCGGCAGGATATCTAAATATAGAAAGTAGGTGTGATGTCAAAGCCGTTCTTAAAGTGATCAAATCATTATTGCATTCTAATCTATTTTGAGTCGCAATAATTACATGGACCAATCAGAACATAGTTAAGCCTTTTAAAGGCATGTTTTGGCCCCCATTCATTGCCCTATCATGGTTTCCTGTTATATCCTCATTTAGAGCTCCTAGAGGTTCCCTTATGATTTCCTGTTATTTACCTCTGCTTCGTATTTGACTTGGGATTTTCTGGTATCCTGACCCGACTTTGTATTTGACTTGTCATTTTCTTATATCCTCATCCAGCTTCGTACTTAACTCGTGATTTTCTGGTATCTTGACCTGGCTTTGTTTCTCACTATATTAATACATTAAGCCGCGCCATTCTAAGGCTCAGTAATACGTATTTCGGATCCACCTTTTGTGGGTTTCCTCTTTCCTGCATGTTGTGGTATGACTCCCGTGACACATCTGTCCTGTCCTCAACTAAAAACAAAGCAATCCAGTTGGTATACTACTATAGGTTACCCAAGGCTCCAGATGGAGTCCCAAGATACTTACTGGTCTGTTTCTCAACGATCAGACACAAACAAATGGTGCAAATGGCTACCCGTTCCTCACCTAATTACTCGTTCGAGGGAACCAATTTGTCTTTTTACAATGACCTTTCTAGGTCTATGGTTTTGTGGCGTCGATAAGACCAGTAACACAGAGATTGAGAGCAACCAATGTCCCTTATTGCTGGGGCCCAGGACGCAGGCTTTCTGTAATATTGATGGAAAACACATACATATCCTGCAACTGTCCAAGTCAGAGAAATTCCTTCAGACGCTGGACCTATCTTCAGTGAATGCCCCACTGAGTCAAGCGCAGGAGATGCATCCTGCAACCCCAAACCAAAACCTGGAACATTAGGAACCTCAAGCTGTTCTATAGACCAGTTGTCAATACAGTGGGACCTCGGTTTACAAACGCCTCGGTTAACATAATTTTCGGTTTACAAATGAAAATCCATTGAAAATAATGCCTTGGTTTACACATTTTTTTCGCAATACAAAGCAAGTTTACACTGGATGCATTGCACCTGGGATGTTTATAGCATTGCCCCCTGCATGCTGAAGCCTGTGGGTAGTACGTGGCGTCGAGTGTGGAGGTGTTGGAGCGGCTTTTGCATTGAGTTTTGGAGCCATTCTGGAAATTGTTTTCCGTTGTTTTGGGACTTTTTGGTGCATTTCTCAAGCTGTGGAAAGGTAGGGAGCTGAGCTTTGTCGTTTGCATGCCTTTTATTGTATGTTCTGCATTGTGGGTTGGTTTCCATGCCAGCTCATTTTGACTTTTTTCTGACCTCCAGAACGGATAAATTGGTTTTCAATGCATTCCTATGGGAAACCGTGTTTCGGTATAACAATGTTTCGCAATAAGAAACGTCCCGGAGAACGCATTAAATTCGTAAACAGATATCCCACTGTATATATATTTCTTAGTCAGCTGCTCCTGTTTCCACCAGCAACCACCTCCTATGAGCAGCTCATCAAATTCTGCGTCGCAGCTTAAGACGATCTCTATCAGCAGGGACAGACTGATAATAATCTGAAATGGGCCATTTTAACTTCCAATTTATATATGTAACAATACATATTGGTTTATTGACTAAAATGTTAATTGTAACTGAAAACTGAATTGAATAATTACACCCAAAACAGCTCATTATGAAAAAAATCCCCAATTACATTATGGTTTAGCTATTTAATTCTGAATTTTTTAATTTGAATTTTGGTTAACTGCAGATAGCTATTTATTGGAGTAAACCCTACATTTGTTTAGCACTAAATTATGGAAGATTGACATTAAACCTTTTAGGCCTAAATAGCTGAGGTGGAAAATTAACGGGGAGCAAAAAGTAACATGATGTGAGTAACGCAGAAGACGGTGAATTGGAGTGGGAGCTAGAGGAGATGCAGGTTGATGCCTGTGACTTACTGAAAGCCCTGTATTGAGAGGATGAGGCATGACAAAGAAAGATGTTTGCAGTCAGTTCAGAGGGTGGGAGAAAACAGAACACGAGACCCTGATACACAAGACCCCCCTCACCATGGCAACACCCTTTATTATATACTGATGTAAGTGTTTGTTAGTTATTATCAGTAAATAATACTTGTGCTAATGGTTATTTAGTAAAATTCATGTATGTGCTTAATATTATAAGTACTTTTGACAATTTTAAGGATTAAAGCTGTTTATCTATGGAACATGTTATCATGGGGATGGAGAGCTAAAGTATCCATGAAGTCCTTAACAATCTTTTCCTCAGAATATTCATGTTCTGTTCTTCTCATGATACATAGTTTTATAGTTATTTTTTTCACAGTAAACACAAAAAAATATTAGAGAACAGCCTGTGATGTAACATAAAATGTTCTTTATTTTTTTTCCGCACTGTAAATCCACTGCTCTTTTATGAGATATTGATGATAAGAAAAACTCTTAGTCGGCCACTCCAGATCAATAAGAGTAAGAAGAAATCAATGACTTGACTTGTCTAGGCAGGGAAGCGAGTCACGTTTATATGCGTGACAGTATGGTGATTCTAATTTTTGATAATCGGCTGTGACCCTTGTAATTCGTGATTTCTCTAATTAATTTTCCAAGCCAGCAAGGTTTTTCGTGATAAGAAATGGTGTTTGTATCTAATTAAAAATATATAGATAATATACTATATATTTTAATATTGGTTGATTTATTATGCTTGCCTATTTAGTACACATTTGGCAGATGTTTCATTCAATTGTGATTTTGTGCTAATGTTCTTTATCGCTCCAACGTATTCACGTTTGACTAAAGTTTGGGCTGCAGTGTTAATATTAAAGAAAAACTTGATTTCTTTCTTTTTTGTTTATTTTACGAAATAGAAGAAATAACCACAATGAAAACATGTATGCATTTATTTCTGCAAGTTCTCTTTAGGGGTATAATTAAAAAAGCTTGTAAAAGCTGCATATCTCTTGTATGCAGCTTTTACTAAAAAGCTGAAAGGTCATGACTAAGGGAAGTCATTTTCTTCATTTTGAAATTACAGCAGTTTAGTAGATAACTTTCTAATTGTCTATCTTCACTTGGCATTGCCATATTTAAGGATGCCTAATTAGGAAGCTATATTATTTAAAAATACTCATGTTCTCATGCAAACATACAAACAAAATTAAGAACAAATACACATCACACACACACAGGAATTTTATTTATTTAAAGATGCTGTTACGGTTGCCCCAGGCTAGCTGAGGGTTGGACCGTAGAAAGGATGCTCGTAGTGCTCACCAAGGACCATCAGCACTGCACCAGACAGCATAAGCACTGCAGACCCCCCGAACCGCTGCAGCTTGGTTGGGGTCTCGCCGTCTCCTACCCACCCTGGACCTACGACAAGGCTCCAGGTTCCAGTGAAGCAGGAACAGGAACAAGCTCTTACAAGAGCTCAGTGAAGCTAAGGGAGTATGCAGAGCATAGCAATCCCTATAGTGATTATAGCTGTCCCCTCCAAACACGAGTCAAGGCTGCGAGTTGAGGGTCAAGTAGAACTGGTTAAATGAGATCAAAGTCATTTCTTATATACAGTTTTCCCCACAAGGTTACCACCCACGTGGACCTTGTGGAGCACAGGACACAAAGTCTCAACAGCCAATCAACACAGTATTGTACAGTTAGACACTCCCAGCTAATGTACACAAACCCTCCCCTCTGCCTGTGATACAATTACCAAACACAATGTACTAACTCAATTACTACAGGCAGAAAATATCCAGTTTTACCCAAAGTCCACCCCAAAACAACAACATATCCTACATCCCTGGATAGCACTGATCTAGGTGAACAACATAGGGAGAGGTATTAGCAGTAGAAAGAGGGAAGTGCTCATGCCATTGTACAGAACACTGGTGAGACCTCACTTGGAGTATTGTACACAGCACTGGAGGCCATATCTTCAGAAGGATATTGATACCTTAGAGAGGGTTCAGAGAAGGGCTACTAAACTGGTTCATGGATTGCGGGATAAAACTTACCAGGAAAGGTTAAAGGATCTTAACATGTATATCTTGGAGGAAAGATGAGACAGGAGGGATATGATAGAAACATTTAAATATATAAAGGGAATCAACACAGTAAAGGAGGAGACTATATTTAATAGAAGAAAAACTACCACAACAAGAGGACATAGTCTTAAATTAGAGGGACAAAGGTTTAAAAATAATATCAGGAAGTATTACTTTACTGAGAGGGTAGTGGATGCATGGAATAGCCTTCCAGCTGAAGTGGTAGAGGTTAACACAGTAAAGGAGTTTAAGCATGCGTGGGATAGGCATAAGGCTATCCTAACTATAAGATAAGGCTAGGGACTAATGAAAGTATTTATAAAATTGGGCAGACTAGATGGGACGAATGGTTCTTATCTGCCGTCACATTCTATGTTTCTATGTTTCTATATCCAAAAATCACCCAGATCAGAGCAGGGGTTCAAAGGTTTTATGGAAGTCACATTTGACCGACCGCAAGCATGGCTTTCATGCCCAAAATAGTTCCACAGATTTAGGCTGTTTGGCGGGTCTATCTTCTCCTCTATCCTGGAGATAATTGGCTTAAGTGGCTGTGGTAAGCCAATTATCTCCAGGTACAGGAAATATCTGTAAGTCCAAAAACTGTTACAAAAACCACATACAAATACATAACTCATATAATACAATGTTTAACCTATATGTCCAACATATAGTACAAGGAAGGGTGAGGTCAGAAAAAAGCAAAAAAATGGGAGATTGAGGAGGGACAAAGCAGCCAGTTTAAACTGCTCTGGCAGTGTCCCTGGGACAACGCCCTGCTGGAGAAATAATAGGACTGGAAAAGGGGGGAGAGGAAGAGGTACATTTTCCCATGGATTTAAAGGGGCAGAAAAAATGTTTTAAAATCCAATAAGCCAAAACAGACTTTTTAAATGGCAATACACCCCAGGAACCATAGTCACAGGGCAAGAGGCTGGCAAGCAGTAGCGAAGAGGCTCCACGTGAGTGGCGAAGATGCTCACTCAGCATTCCTACCTGTGCCAGGGAGGGCTGTAGTTGATCCTTCCCTGGTCACCTGTGGGTCTGCTGATATCACTTTGCTCTCGTGGCACAGTTCCCATTCATATGTTCTAGCGATGCCGGGGGGCTGGATTGATGTCATATCCCAGCTGCTGACAATTTACAGAATGCGCAAAAGAGCTGGGCAGCAAGAAAACTGTAAGTACACAGCTCTCTTGCAGTGCAAACTCCTCCACCCCTGAACAGGACAAAGGTATATTTTAGCTGAGTAGGTACCTGCCGTGCTAGTAGGCAGGTGTCTCCTCTTCTATAGAGCAGGTCCCAAAGTATTGTACAGTTTTGGTCTCCCACTGTTAGATTGTCCTATCTGCCACATTCTGTTACCCATCAAAACCTATTTCCCCTCCTCTGAACTCTATCTTGGGATCACTGTGGCTGAAGGTTAATGCAAGGTAAGTAAGGTTACTTTTACACAGAGCTTACAGTTAGGGGCTTCACTTTAAGGTAAATGGTAAAATTAGTGTTACAGGCTAAGTTAACCTCATGCAATTCTCATTCTAACCCTAGAAGTGAGACTAAAACTAAGCCTGCAATATTATGTATGATTTAAAGTTATATTATCCAGTGGCATTATTAGGCGTGGTGCCTTAATGTGGTCAACTAGGGAATCCTATTACTAGCAGTTAATGCAGCACTCCTCTGATTCTTAGCTTAAGTGGCCTTGAAGGCATGATGTATGGGTTTGTCTAATTAGTTTTTATATAGACATCAAGATATAACTTATTAAGGGTCATTTTCTTTCCTTAGCAAATGCCTATTAAGGAAGGCCTCAACGACCTCATGCAATGCACCCACGTCATTGAGGAGTGGATGGACCAGGCAACAATACGGTCCGATGCTCATGAGCAAGCTATTGAAGATCTCCGAAACCTAGTGCGCCAACTGGTAGAGGCACAAGATGATTTAAACAACAGATCACAATGCAACAACATTAGGCTACGTGGCATACCTGAATTCATCAAAATGGACACTCTAGCCTCCACTCTCCGCGAAATGTTCTGCGGCCTACTCCCAGAGGGCCCACATGCGGAACTCCGCCTAAACCGAGCCAACAGGGCACTATGGGCCCCATCCACAAACATAACTCAGCCACAGGAAGTCATCATCAGAATGCACTACTTCCATGTTAAGGAAGCAATAATGAGGGCGGCCCATGACACCCCGCTCCAGATTGAAGGACACCAGGATTAGTTTTATCACTACCTGGCCCCCAGCACCTTGCGCAAAAGACGGGAACTACATCCCTTCACACAAGAACTGACTAGGAGACGAATTCGCTATTCCTGGGGCCATCCATTCAAGCTAATGGTACGCAGAAACAACCACACATTCACACTGCACAACATCACAGAGGCCGGAGAGTTTGCAGAACAGCTGTGCCTACCCCGACTTAACCTTACCGCTGAACGACCCACCAGGGGAGCGCCATGAATACCTCCACTCCAAAGGGAAGAAGCAGCAGCCCCAAGAAGACCAACACCAAACAGAACCCCAGACCATGCTTTACGGGACTGAGTGGACTGCCCGCGCCACGCAAATGGACTGACTGGCTTATAACCCGCCACAGTGAGACTCACACACGACATCCTTCACCACACATGTCTACCAGTTTCGACAGACTATTGCAATAGTTAACCCAGCATGCGCTATATGAACAGCCATTGACAGATAACGCCTGAATCACATAAGATATACAAAAAACCATACAAGCATGAAATGCCATATGTTTATTCAGCTTGCCTTAATTGAGAAAAGCACTGTTAACGTAATGATACATTATCACACCACTGTTACACAGTTAAGGGTAGCCCATCTGGACATCCATTAGAGCAACAGACTGTGGGGTCCACGAAATGCTAGATATAGACTGCTCCCCAACATGGTGGAACTCATGATATAAACTCCCCACGTGTCCACAGGCTCCTTCACCACATGGTGGTTTCCATTGAGAGAAAAGGGAAGCACTAACCTACAACCACAGAGGTGGCCCCTTCCAGTGCAGTCCTAAAAATGCTTTAAATTATTGTTAACCTGCAACATTTAGCTATAAAAAACATCTTTAGTAACAGGACATATCACAGTAAAGCTTTTAAAGAAAGGTAAATGTGATCATACTCTTTGTTCTAATAGTCACTTGCATGGTTACCCACACCCTAATCTCTATTTAGCAAATAGCGAGATACATCAGCTACCCCAAAGATTATTGCCTTAATCGAAGGATGACTATCCTGCAGCCCACATTCAGGATGGTTCGCTGGTGTCATTAAGCCAGCACAGGTAACCATTTCAAGACTAGGTCACGCCTACGGCGCCTTACAAGGACTGACTAAGCAAACACACAACCTAGGCCAGATCCAGCAATGGCACATCCCACAGCACAAAAAAAGAGATGAGTTGATCTGGAGCACCTGATCTTTGGCTGGGATCACCCATCTCTGTATATGTGGGTACCCAAACCACACAGACCTCTGCCCCCACCCACATCGCCCTCGATCTCACACTCATTAGACTTATGGGATATATTACGAGACAAATTCAAACTTTCATCCTTCCTATCACGCATGACCCCGATCTGGAGGAACAAACTATTCCCACCAGGCCTTACCCCTGCGCACTTCGCCCGCTTCGAACAAAGGGACATATCGAGACTAGGCCATCTGTACCACAACAACGCAATCATTCAATACGCAGACATCAAAGACTCAGGCTCCCTGACGACCTTTGATCACTTCAGGTACATACAGATACGTAGCTTCGCCTCTACCCCAATAATAAAACAAGCCGGAACATCCCCGCTCGATTCAAACAAGACTGGATAGCCCACCCCTCTAGAAAGGGACAAATATCAGACCTATACATAACCATATCAACTCACCCTTCCCTATATAGCAGCATGGGAAGCAGACCTGAGACCCCCAGAAGGTACATCCGACTGGGCGGACATATAGGAGGCCACAGCCTCTATATAAATCTGTGTCACACACACGGAACAAGCATATAAGATGCTGTTCCAATGGTACCTAATCCCACACCGCCTCGCCATCATACACCGTAGTGTCTCTAACACCTGCTGGAAACAATGTGGAGAGACAGGAATATTCTTACACTGCTTGTGGACCTGCCCAAAAATAGAATCCCTTTGGCAGGGAGTCACAACACTTATAACCAAACTTATGGGCAAACCCTGCCCCACAGACCCCTGGACCCTCCTACTCTCAAAACCCATAGAGACTTTCACCAGAGCAGAAAACAAACTGGTTTCTCGAATTGCCCTAGCAACACGCAGAGTGATAGCAGAAGTCTGGTCCACACTCCATATCCAACACAGGATACCATAACAAGGAAAATACAGGACAGCCTACAAATGGACAAACTCACCTCACAACTACACAATACACCCAAACAGTTCCACAAAATCTGGCACCCCTGGCTAGAAGGGGACACAACCCTATCAATCTAAATAGAGAAGAGGGAAGACTTGCGCACAAGCCGTTAGCCACTCTAGAGACCAGACACAATCCCCCACTGGAAACATAAACACGTGGCGACTCCGCAGGGTTGGGTGGGGCTGCGGGCCCAGGCATTGCGGGAAAATGACACAACCTCTTCCTGACACCCAAAACACTAACCCCTATGGAACCACTATGCCCTCACCTACTGTGCAGACGCGTCTGGACACGTTGTGTGACCACGGACACACGACTCCAACTAAAGTACATAGGATCCCAATCAAAAGGGTACAACACACACCTAAACCATTAGATGCAAACCTGACTGGATCACTGGCTCAACAGAGTTTCAGCCCTCCAATGACTCCAACACCCATAAATTTATAATCATACAATAGCAGACACCAATTAACCGAACATGAGTGAAAACAAGTCATGCACCCAGACGCAATGGCAGGAGCAATGAGCAGAGCCCCATGGACGGTCCGGGCACTCAGGCAACCATTACACAAAGCCCTCAACCATACCCGGTATGCCTTGACCACCCGGGGGGGAGAAAGATAACCAGCAGGCAGGGCCGCCATCAGGAGGTGACAACCATGGCAACTCTCCACGCGGCATGCAGGGTCTCGCGAGAGTTATTAGAAGAAATGCACTGAACGTACAGACACAGTGTGCTAGGCCCCCTCTGCGGTAACAGGGATGGAATCTCCCCCCTCCCTGGACACAGGTAAGAAGCAGGGAGGGGAGGGGGAAGAAACAATTAATTAAATTAATGTACCATTAATGTGAAAATGCCCCTTCCTCCCCCTCCCCCCCAGATTGCACATTTACACACACACTGCATACAGTAACACAACACACACACTGCATAAACTAATACAACACACACACCGCATACACAAATACAGCACACGCACTGCATACACTAACACAACACACACTCTGCATACACTAACACAACACACACTCTGCATACACTAACACAACACACACACTGCATACACTAACACAACACACACACTGCACACACTAACACAACACACACAACACACACACACACACTGCATACACTAACACAACACACACTCTGCATACACTAATACAACACACATACTGCATACACTAACACAACACACATACTGCATACACTAATACAACACACTCTGCATTCACTTCACACTAACACACTCACTGCATTCACTACACACTAACACACTCACTGCATCCACTACACTGACACACACTCTGCATTCGCTACACATTAACACACACTCTGCATCCGCTACACACTAACACACTCTCTGCATTCACTACACATTTACACACACTCTGCATTCACTACACACTAACACACACTCTGCATTCATTACACACTAACACACACTCTGAATTCACTATGCTGACACACACTCTGCATTTACTATACTGACACACACTCTGCATTCACTACACTAACATACACTCTGCATTCACTACACACACAGCATCCACTACACAAACATCCTGTATTCACAGTACACACACTACATCCACCACAAATTGAAACACTTTGCATTCACTATACACAGACACTGTGTCTAATACACACACTACATCCACTACAGACACTGCATCCACTAAACACATTTCATCTAGTACATACAAACACTACATCCACTACACAAACACACACTACATCACTGTACACACACTACATCCACTACTCAAACACACTCTGCGTTCACTATACACATTGCATCCGCTACACAAACACACACTCTGCATTCACTGCACAAACAGTATCTAATACACACAAACACTACATCCATTACACACATTCTAATTCACTTCCACTATACACACCACATTCAGTCCTGCATCATTGTCAGCGGACGAGGTGGGGCGTGGGTGGGCCCGGGAGGGAGGGAGGTGAGGGGGGTGGGGAACCCAGACCTTGTGCTTTGTCAGGGGGCCCAAAATTTCTGATGGCGGCCCTGCCAGCGCGTAATAATCCCAACTATACCCCCACAGTGTGGAGCTGACCAGAACATGACCCCACCCAATATGATTGTATGTACTACTGCCATGTCTGCACATAAACCAAACGGCAATGTGCCGGGGGTTGTATACACGTGTTATGACTACTATGCATTGACCCTTTTCTTCTTTCCCTAATGTACATCTTATCCAGAATAACTACCTTGTATTAACCCTTTCTTTTTCCTGTAAAATGTATCTGTTATCACAACATTGAATAATGAAAAATAAAGAATTTCAAAAACAATTCTAAACAATGGCTAAAAACAATCTTTATTGGCAAATATGACACATAATGAAGACAAAAAAACTACTCAAACACCCCAAAAACACTGTGAAATTTTGTTACCAATAAAGTTTGTTTTGTTTTATAAGACTTTACAACCTGTCTCATATATGGCCTTACAAAGCCTTTTTTGTGTTTTCTGTTATTTAAGTATATTCTACAGAAAATGTTGTTAACAATGGGAAGGGTGCATCAAGCTTTAATGGACTTTATTGTTAATCTGTGTTTAGAAAAGCTAACCTTAAATTCTTGAATGGTTTCACTGACATATTATAATCTATACCATGCCCTTTCTATACTTACTATAGAGGAACCCAAGCATCATAATGGGAGTGCTATGGAAC